TATGGACACCATCACGAAATGGTTGGTCTATACGATGTGTCTGTGTCTAAACTAACTAATGACATTTTACCACGTCTTAGATTGTGGTTTAACTTGTATGTCGTCTGTCTTCTAAGTATCGAACGTGACCTATTCCCGAATGTGACTGTTTCGCCGAGTGTTTACACATCCAACATTCATGTATTTATTTATGTGATTTCGGTTGGATATTGTGTTATGTCTTATCGTTTGTGGTTTTAATTCTGTATTTTCGATACATTTTACATATTTCTTATTTGTCAGTATAGTCGAGTTAATTTCCATTTTCCATGGATAAATCATTGTGTTAGTCCAAATAATTATGACGTCGTCACAGCATTTAATTAAAATAGCCTTTTAATATCGTCATAGTCATGATAATTGTTTGAACAGTATTGTGAAAATAATTGTATGAATTTCAAGATTATATATTCGTTACAAAAATACGTCACTGTTTGTGATGTTTTGTGCTGTCTTTAATTGAAGATGTTCGTTGTTATTCTGCAGTTTACATGTTGTAACGACTATTATATTATTTATTTGTGGGTTTCTCTGTGCTGAGTGTTCTTGTGTTTGTTTGTGCAGTATTTCTGTCATTTTAGCGATATACTTTAACATTGCCATATGAGCGGGAGGTTTGGCTAGCCATAAAACGAGTTCAACCCACCATTTTTTCTTAAAATGTTCTGTTCTAAGTCAGGAATATGGCAGTTGTTATCAAATATTTCGTTTCTATGTATGTTGGCGTTTGTTTTTGTTGTACTTCAGTGTTTCTGCTGTTCCATTGTTTTCCTCTTGTAGTTGATGTGTTTCCCTTGGTTTTAGTTTGTAACCCAGATTTGTTTTCTCTAAATTGATTTATGACGTTTGAACAGCGGTATACTACTGTTGCCTTTTTTTATGTACAGCATCCACACAACAGGAGCAACAACCTTGCAATCAATATAAAAAAGGAGATGTGGCATGATTGCAAATGAGAATACTATCCATCAAAGTTGAAATGAAGTGGATGCTAGCAATTATAGGCGGGAGGTTTGGCTAGCCATAAAACCAGGTTCAATCCACTATTTTGTCTTAAAATGTCCTGTAAAAAGTCAGGAATATGGCAGTTGTTATCAAATAGTTCGTTTCTATGTATTTTGGCGTTTGTTTTGTAGCAGTTCAGTGTTTCTGTTGTTCCGTTGTTATCCTCTTATAGCTGATGTGGTTCCCTCGGTTTTAGTTGTATACTACTGTTGCCTTTATCTATAGGCAGCCAGACGACCTTCAAATATTTGCTAATTTGACAATAGCTTTCTTTTACCTGCATATGACTTTTTGTTTTGATTTGTTATTATTATCATTATCTATTTGTTTAGTGTTGAATTTTCTAACATGAAAGTAAAAAAATACTTCTTATCTCTTCAATGATATCAGTGACATTTTTCATCATTTTCTGTAGATTATATATTCAAAACGAATTGTTTGCTAGTTTCGGTACCTTTGAGTTAGTTTGTTAGGTAAGAATTATTCTTATATTGTTAAATATATAATTGACTTATGTATATCATGTTGCACTTAAAACTGTGTCATGTTGTACTTAGATAAAATTTGAATATTTAAATGTCAAATACGAAAACTAGAATAAAAACGATATGTCAATCAGTGGAAATAAGAGAGTTAATGCAGTTTACACATAACATAAGGATTTATAAGCCTTTATTGTAATGTTCAAATGATAAGCGAATAAATTACTCCATATTCTAAAATGGTAAGTATTAACAAAAAATTATATTATTATACTACTATACAAAATAATGACATTTCAAACAAAACCTCTTGTCAAGAGTGCTTATAGACAAACAAATATCATAAAGTATGGAAAACAACGTACATGATGTTCAAGGTTTGTTGACACACATGTTTATCCGAACCACATATTGTATGTGATTGTCCGAAGTTAGTAGACTGTACTTCAATAGTTGTCGTCGACTAATGTCTTGTATATCTGTATTTTGTTTTTGTTTTGTCATAGATTAGACAGTTGGTAAATTTGTTTAAAAATTTCACATTTTGCCATGTCGGGGCGGCAAATAGCTGACTAAACGGTATGGGTTTTGCTCATTGCTTAACGACATTCGGTGACCTATGATAGCTTAAATCCACTTCATTTGACTAGTTGTCTCATTGAAAATCATTCCACATCTCCTTATCTTATATATGAAAAACGTTTTACTTTTTTGTGGACAATCATGTCTCGTTCGCGTTGTTTGTATAATGTTTATGTGTCATCTTCAAAGTACTATGTTCAAAAAGTATAGCTATTTTATGCATTCAAAGCAGACCAGTTTGTACCGTCGTCGCTGCCGGTATGAACCCGGTTGGAGGTCCGTTAGGTGTTTCGTCTGGTTTGCATATGATAAATGGATTACAAGTGCATGCTACTGTTGCTTCTTATTTAAGCTGTATATTCTAATAAACATAATAACTTTAGTATTTTCCAAACATAAATGTCCAGGGCGAATTATTTTAAATAAGGTGTAATTTCGTGTGTGCAATTTGCATTTAGATGAAACAAGAAATGTACCGTTTACTACTTGTTGCCATGCTGCTCTCCACATTTTTCATCCTGAACTCACATTTGTATCTCAAAGATGATACCCGATATCCAAAGGTAATGAAGAGATATGCTGTAGCTGATAGTTACGATGAAGATAAGACATTGTGTCCTCTACATCCTGAAAATTTACGTAAGTATATAATAAAGAAGTATTCAAAAATGTTATAACAGCAAATTTCAATCCGACAATATCAGTATTTTCATACCGGTTTGTTTCTCCTAGGCTGGTGATACAATCGAGGACTAACATGCCACCAGCAGGAGTATCAGCCCAATGGTAGTAATAACATTTACGGTATCAGGTTTTCTGTAATTTCTCGTCAGTGATGGTCGAGGCCAAAATATCTGAAAATTAAAAACCTAATACAAACGTTGAAATAAAAATGGGAAGGTATACGTGTACGAGTAACGAATCTCAATAAATATCCCATGGTCGTAAACAGTTTTTTTTCGATTATTCCAGAAGGAAGCATGATTCAAAATCGTGGTAGAAAATCAAAGAGTTCTATATTTTCTCAAACATTCAGAATAAAAGATACCTACATCGATTTGTTCGTTGGTCTATATCTGTGTATTTAACATGTATCTCTTTGCATGGATATATTTATTAGAAGTTTTATCTTTCTAAAATGATCCGTTCATAAATTTTGAAAATTATAAAGAAACTAAGGTTTCAACTCCCTAAGGCAAAGTTGACCTTAGATGGATTTGGCTATTTTGTGTATTTTTTTTGTCATGTTGATCTTCAACTGTTTCCATTGTTATACATCATTGGTTTTCAAATATTCGGCTTTGAGTGTTCTTGATGCAGGTAAATCCAGAAAATCGCCTCGGACACATCAAATTAATAACCTTTTGTTTTCATTTTATTCAATCATTTTATCTTAATAACCTTTATCATTCAGTTACATTTTTCTGAATTTTGTTCTGTTATAAAAAACATTAACAAGTTCAAACACCAAACATATGTTTTAATTTACATTTTTGATCAATAATTTTTCACAATATATATATTCGACATCGTTAGCAATGGTAGCTCATTATTTTTTTCGTGCGTTAAATTGAAAAAAAAATCACAAGCATTGTAGGAGAAAATTAAACGAAAAGATACAGTGACTGAGAGAAAAATGCATCTTGATTCAAACAGACAAACTATCATATCTTATATTTGCAATAAACTACATGTCGTTAAGCTGAGTAATTTATACGAGCTTTAATAATATTTTGTTGCTGCCCTACATGCCAATGGCATACCGGGCAGTAAGTAGGTAAGTACAATAATATTTTAATAAGACCGTGTTTTCATCAAAACAATCGACATTCCATTGGGAACTGGAAATTATGTCTTTGGTCGTAAAGGTTTGGTCTCAAACGACCTTAATTATATATAATTAGATATGAGTGAAGGTATGAATCAGACTCAACTGTACTGTGGTATCCTTTATTTCAAGTTCGATGAGATAGATGCGTTCAACATAGTCAACAAAAGTTGAATTATGTAATTAGGTAATTAGATACATCATTTATATAGGGAAATTTTATATTAAAAGGTAATGTTAGCTTCTTTTCATTCTAAGGCCTCGGTGGCCGAGTAGTTTGAGTAGTTCATCCACTGTTTAATTACCCTGTCAACAGTGATGTTGTGAGTTCGAACCCCGCACGTGGCAGGTTATCTCTGGTGACTCCTTTAATAATAACTGGCTGCAACAATTTAGCCAATAGTGCTAACAGTGGCGTTAAGCAATCATTAAATCAATCAATGTTTTCATTTTTTTTTCATAAGGAGCTCCTTCACTTAATGTAGTACCGCCAAACCCGTCCTCTTTCCCTCGATTGTGACATCACCTAATAAACCAATGATAGAATTTGTACTTACATGTTTTACACTAAGGGTGTCACAAGCGGGGCAAGATCTTATAACTATGCCAAGAGATCACCCAAGTTGTTGGTGCCGTTCATGTTGATAAGTCTAGTTTACTAGTGTCTTGTGAACTTGTTTATTTTTCCGTCGTCTTTCTTTTTTTTTGTCATTGCATTGTCAGTTCCTCAAGATTTATAAATAAACTCATCATAGATACCAGGATAAAAAATTTCGTACGCCAGACGCCCGTTTCGTGTACAAAAGATGTCCTCTTTGCATCTTTTTCCTCCTTTTTAACCAATAACATATGTACCGTTTTCATTGGACATGCATTGCACATTTTTTCGTCCGTCAAAACAATTTCTGAGAGGCAATTTTAAATACACTTCTTCTTAACTGTTATATGCATAAATGATTTTAATTTTATGTATGTTTTAAAACTAAAGTTTTGGCAGAAAGGGTTAAGTTTGATCAAACTTGATAACACATTCAATAAAAGAAATGTCCTTTACAGATGGATACGAATCATTAAATAGAACCGTATATACTCTAGAAGCTTTACAAACAACATACAACTACATGGATCAAGGACATTATCGACCAGTCGCGTGCATTCCTAGACAAAAAGTAGCCATTATTATACCTTACAGAGATAGGGAGAAAGGATTGTTTACATTACTAAATAATGTTTTACCTCGAATTCACAGACAGAATATTGAATTCGGAATATATGTGGTAGAACAGGTAAAATATAGTTTAAATCATTATGGAATATACAAGATTTTGCTTTAATGGATATACGATTCCGTAGACTACTTTAGGATTACGTCTAAATCAATATAGTAATGTAATATATAAACAAGTCTAAATTGAAAACAACGTTCAAACCTATGATTGCGTTGGATAAAAACCGCAATTTTCATATGTGTGCATGCAAAACAAGTTTCTTGGTAGAGGGGTCTATATAATACAAAAACAACATTGTCGTAAAGACCAAAAAAAGTGAAAAAGTATATTTTAACAAAACGCAATTGACTAGCAGGTCGAACAACAGATGTTCTAAAACCCTTATGACTGCCATTTGCGATTGCCAAATAAACGGATCACCAGATGTAACACAATGGATCTTAATAATTAATTCAATACCAAACAGAAAACAATAAACTTGCGGAAAAGTAATGTAATATATATAAATATAAATATAAACAAGTCTAAATTGAAAACAACGTTCTATCCTATGATTGCGTTGGATAAAAACCGCAATTTTTATACGTGTGCATGCAAAACAAATTTCTTGGTAGAGGGGTCTAAATACAGCACAAACAACATTTTCCAAAAGACCAAATGAGTGAAAAAGTATATTTTAACAAAACGCATTTGACTAGCAGGTCGAACAACTGATGTTCTTAAACCCTGCTGACTGCCATTGGCGATTGCCAAATAAACGGATCACCGATGTAATAAAAATGGATCTCAATTATAAATTGAATACTAAACAGAAAACAATAAACTTGCGGAAAAGATGGTATACCGCAAACAATAGGTGCAAAGGTTTTTGTACACCATATCCGGATTTCGACAATTAATGTCTCTTCAGTGATGTTAGGAATCGAAACGGTATTTGGAAGGCCATATAATTTACCTCAATTTAGGATATACTCTTGAATTTTGAAAGAGTCAAAATAGGATGAACGGATCATATAAACCCGAAGGCAAATATAATACAAGCCCAAACGAAAAAATATAAACAAGTCTAAATTGAAAACAACGTTCTATCCTATGATTGCGTTGGATAAAAACCGCAATTTTTATACGTGTGCATGCAAAACAAATTTCTTGGTAGAGGGGTCTAAATACAGCACAAACAACATTTTCCAAAAGACCAAATGAGTGAAAAAGTATATTTTAACAAAACGCATTTGACTAGCAGGTCGAACAACTGATGTTCTTAAACCCTGCTGACTGCCATTGGCGATTGCCAAATAAACGGATCACCGATGTAATAAATGGATCTCAATTATAAATTGAATACTAAACAGAAAACAATAAACTTGCGGAAAAGATGGTATACCGCAAACAATAGGTGCAAAGGTTTTTGTACACCATATCCGGATTTCGACAATTAATGTCTCTTCAGTGATGTTAGGAATCGAAACGGTATTTGGAAGGCCATATAATTTACCTCAATTTATGATAGACTCTTGAATTTTGAAAGAGTCAAAATAGGATGAACGGATCATATAAACCCGAAGGCAAATATAATACAAGCCCAAACGAAAAAATATAAACAAGTCTAAATTGAAAACAACGTTCTATCCTATGATTGCGTTGGATAAAAACCGCAATTTTTATACGTGTGCATGCAAAACAAATTTCTTGGTAGAGGGGTCTAAATACAGCACAAACAACATTTTCCAAAAGACCAAATGAGTGAAAAAGTATATTTTAACAAAACGCATTTGACTAGCAGGTCGAACAACTGATGTTATATATATATAAACAAGTCTAAATTGAAAACAACGTTCAACCCTATGATTGCGTTGGATAAAAACCGCAATTTTATACGTGTGCATGCAAAACAAATTTCTTGGTAGAGGGGTCTAAATACAGCACAAACAACATTTTCCAAAAGACCAAAAACGTGAAAAAGTATATTTAAACAAAACGCATTAGACTAACAGGTCGAACAACGGCTGCTGACTGCCATTGGCTATTGCCAAAAAAACGGATCACAAGATGTAACAAAATAGATCTTATTATTAATTTATTACCAAACAGAAAACAATAAACTTGCGGAAAAGATGGTATATCGCAAACATGAGGTGCATAAATTTGTACACCATATCCGGATTTCGACAATTAATGTCTCTTCAGTGATGTTAGGAATCGAAACGGTACTTGGAAGGCCATATAATTTACCTCAATTTAGGATAGACACTTGAATTTGAAGAGTCGAAATAGGATGAACGGATCATATAAACCAGAAGGTAAATATAATAAAAGCCCAAACGAAAAAATATAAATACGTCTAAATTGAAAACAACGTTCAAACCTATGATCGCGTTGGATATAATTCGTCTAACTAACAGCCCAACAATGTTAGATCTGTAAATTTGCGTTAGCATATTTTTTGTTCTTCCCTGGCCGGGATTCGAACTATATATTGTATATATATATATTTAATAAGTACTTCTAAACAAGTGACAACTCTATGACAGATCCATCCATTGGATCACCAGTGAAGATGATACACGGCTGAAAACATCTGTTATATACATAATTACTTTAAATATCAGCACAACAATGTTAAATTTGCAAATTTGCGGAATCAAATTTTTGTTAATCCCGGCGAGGGAAGATCAAAAATTTGCTTCCGCAAATTTGCAGATTTAACATTGTTGTGCTGATATTTAGAGTAATTATATATATCCAACGCAATCATAGGTTTGCACGTTGTTTTCAATTTACACTTATTCATATTTTTTTCGTTTGGACTTGTATTATATCTTGTGATCCGTTTATTTGGCAATAACCAATGGCAGTCAGCAGCCGTTGTTCGACCTGTTAGTCAAATGCGTTTTATTTAAATATACTTTTTCACTTTTTTGGTCTTTTGGAAAATGTTGTTTGTGCTGTATTTAGACCCATCTACCAATAAATTTGTTTTGCATGCACACGTATAAAAAATGCGGTTTTTATCCAACGCAATCATAGGTTTCAACGTTGTTTTCAATTTAGACTTGTTTATATTTTTTCGTTTGGGCTTGTATTATGTTTGCCTTTGGGTTTAAATGATCCGTTCACCCTATTTTGACTCTTTCAAAATTCTAGAGTCTACCCTAAATTGAAGTAAATTATATGGCCTTCCAAATACCATTTCGATTCCTAACATCACTGAAGTCACAATTAATTGTCGAAATCCGGATATGGTGTACAAATTTGTACACCTCATGTTTGCGGTATACCATCTTTTCCGCAAGTTTATTGTTTTCTGTTTGGTACTGAATTAATTATTAAGATCCATTTTGTTACATCTGGTGATCCGTTTATTTGGCAATCGCCAATGGCAGTCAGCAGGGTTTCAGAACATCAGTTGTTCGACCTGCTAGTCAAATGCGTTTTGTTAAAATATACTTTTACTCTTCTTTGGTCTTTTGGAAAATGTTGTTTGTGCTGTATTTAGACCCCTCTACCAAGAAATTTGTTTTGCATGCATACGTATAAAAATCGCGGTTTTTATCCAACGCAATCATAGGTTTGAAAGTTGTTTTCAATTTAGACTTGTATATATATATAGTGTCTAGAAATAGCAACAATCAACATTCAATTTATCTAGGCGTGGATCAGTTTCTAAATTAAATTATATAAATTAAGCTGCAAAAATTTCTTTACAGTCTCCGATTTTTTACCTGGATAGCTGCACGCGCCTGATGAAGCTAATTTGTTTAGCGAAATATTGCGTGGATATATAAAATGTAACAACTATTTTTATAACACTCATTAGTGTATTAAAATTACATTCTTAGGCATTTATATACATATATATTTATATATATATAAATGTCTAAGAATATAACTTAAACACGCTAATTGATACATTAAAAAGTTCTATTAGATTAAAATAGAAATGCGTAATATTTCGCTAGACAAACTAGCTTCATCAGGCAAGGTGAAATCGAATGCATGACAAAAAAATATTTTTGTAGCTTAAACTACACAAAATTTGAGTTAAAGTTTAACATGTTTATTGATGTTCTATAAAAAAAAATATATGTTTGTAGCTTAAACTACATAAAGTTGGAGTAAAAGTTTAACATATTTATTGATGTTCGATTAATTGTATGAATTTTTATAAATTGTATAAATTTCTATAAATTGTATGATTTCAAGATTATTGTTTTGATTTGTTTTTAAATCTTTTTTCGTCTCTCTCATTGAGCCCATCAGTTTCAAGAGTTCGTAACTGGTGCATACAAAATCTCTCTCTCTTTTGTCTTCCATTTTATATATATATATGAAATGTCTGAATAATAGCCAACGATAAATCTTACGAGGCGATGGATCATATACATATGATACAGTACACTACAAAATATAATATATAATAAGCAAGTCTAAAAGGCTACAACATTACCAAAAAAAATTAGTAAAATCATGAACAAATATCCAATATTTCGGATAAATAATATCCTTCATCAGTAAGATGTCAAATGATTCTTATCTTGACATGTGGTGGTCGAACTGAAATAATAATCTTGAACGATTCGTGATAATTTGTATGACGTTCAAGATTATGATATAAGTTCGACTACCACATGTCAATTATATATTATATATATAAAAATATTATATACAGCAAAGGAAGACAACTACTGAATTGACAGGCACATACGAAATATGGCGGGCTTAAACATGTTTGAAGGCGCCAACACTCCCCTAACCCGCGACAGCGGTATAAAAGTACAACATAAGGACACACTATAAAAATCAGTTAGAAAGGTTTAACTGATCAGATCCATACATACAGAAACTACTAGCAAAAGTACAAAAGACACAAAGTACAGATCTTAGGGTACTATCAGCTACTGAAAGCTAGTTAAAAACTTATAACAACTAATAAAACAAATCATGCATCTAAGACTAAAATATCAATCAGTGAACATCCAATCCCCAATGGATTTAGTGTAAAGACGTCATGAACAGTGAAAAACATGATCTTATGTGATATGTGTGAATGTTATAAGCCAAGTAAAACTGAAATACTGACTACTGGATTGATGATATAACAGTCCATGAGTAGTGGTATCGATCAAGTGCTAGAACATTAAAATATCATTTTTAATACAATTCGTACGTCCGATCTCTTTTCTGTATTCACCTACATCAGATTCGATGAAATTTAAATATTCCAAAGCTGTGTAAATCTAGTCTTTTTGTTTTTTGTTTTAAATGCCAAGTTTCTTCCTTTTGATATGTGCAAGTTGAAAAGGTGAAACTTGTGTGTATGTTTATTTCTTTACCTAGAATAATCAGATTTGGAAACAAACTTTCTAAAATTATGAAAAAAATCCAAGCGTTAGCAACAAACCTATTAATTGCAGAAGCTATATATCCAACTTTGCAATGTATACTGCTACTGAATAAGAACAGTTTATGCTTGCCTGTAATTGCTTGCATCCACTTCATTTGAACTTTAGTGGATAATTGTCTCATTGGTTATCATACCGCATTTCCTTATTCGTAGATTTGTTTTGTAATTAGATTGCAGGTGAACTTTTCAACAAAGGTGTATGTTTTAATGTTGGCTTTAAATATGCTATGACTCAATATAGATATGATTGTGTCGTACTTCATGACGTTGATATAATAGCAGAAGATGACAGGAATTTCTTCACATGTGGATATTATCCTAAACATCTGGCCGTGAATGTGGAACAATTCAATTACACGTAAATATTTTATTTATATTGTGAAATATTCGAAAAAAGTATTTAAGGAGTCTCTTACTATTATCGATATTATCCGTTAAAATTCTTATATTTTGACTTATCGTCTTTCTTCCTAACAAAAGGTATATATAGAGTCTAAACTCTTTAAAAATTTAAAAATAATAAATCTTATAGTTCTATTCCAATGTTTTCAGTTTTTAAATTTTGTTTTTACAAACTATGTTGCGATTAAATTATATAAGTTACACACATTTATGATTTTAATTAACAATTATTGCTCTTCGAGATCCTGTATTCCTCGACTTATTACAGTCAATGCAGCAAAGGAATGTGTAAAAACTGCTGATATGGGGAAATACATTATCCAATGTTCTGTTTCCTGAATATTTAATTTATGAATTAAGAATTGATGTCAATTATCCTAGAACGTAGCAATGCTTATTATTCAAAACAGACACCCAAAATGTGTCATATGTGTTGAAACGACGAGTAAAGGTTTCATTATACTGATGTAGTTTTTCGAAAGAACCATGAATTAGTGTTATATTAAACGTCAGTTCCCCATAAATGTTTGAATAATTTTCGTAAATATCGATTTATTCAGAAAGAAATATACATTTGAAATGTTCTATATTTATAAGAGCTTTAAGATCGTCAAAATTTGAAAAATAACTTTCGACCTTATTTGTCTTTTCGACGTTAAGATAAGGATGTGTGGAAACGGGGGTAATTGCTCAAAGACCGGGTTGTAATGGCTTTTTGACACTTGAAAGGAAGTATAAAATGGGGAGTTTGAAAATATTTGACATGTTTTTGGACCTCTATTTGAATTCTTGTAATTTAACTGGCTGATTTCTTGACAAAGATAGGAACATTAATGAAAACCGCATTACTTCCTGGAGATAAAAACCAAAACAGAAAAAATAGTAAGAAGGGAACTATCTATCGAGAATGCTACTGAACGCGACCATGTTAAACCCTAAACTCTCCTTAACAATCTGAAACAATTCTACAAACTGTGTACAAGATAGCAAGGGGACAAGAACAAATATAAGAGCGAATAAAAATAAAAAGCACCATGGTTAAATGAAACAAAGTAATGTCTTAATACATATACAAATATTTTAGAAAATCTTGGAATGAACGACCTACATAGGATTGGTTTCGTAAAATATGTACCTTCTCAGAATGTAACCTAATTAACATTCCAAGATGAAAACTGTTGGAAGAAATGTCTACACAAAATTGATAAGCATATGTGATAAAAAGTTATTATGAACAACATATTATTTAAAGTTATAATAACTGAATATATATTATTAAATTGCTTTTATTCAAATATCTGAAACATAGCCATTTCAATACATACAGAAATAGACACAGCAAAGAAAATGCGTTCATTGAATCAATTTATCCTTACATTTACAGAGACTTTACAGACAGACTTTTACTTGAATGAATAAGGTCATTATGGGATTAAATTGATTTTTAAATTTCCGGATTTTATCGAAAACAATTCGGAATCTTTCGAATAGCATCCCAATTTCATCGAGCGAAGAAATATTTCTACAGATTTCTATGTGATCTATGAATGCGTGTACTTTCCAGAAAATGAAAAAAATATATAATAAAATACATACAAAACTAAAACAAAAACCATGTACACAACAATTACTTAAAACGACTTTTATAAAGATGTATATGCACGTTACCTCCATAAACCGTTGTCGATCTTTTGTATAGATTAAAACGACAGTAGTTTACCGATGTTCAAATCTCGTAAATCGAATAGGAAGAGACTAATCAAACAGAAACTGATGGAATCGCATAATTAAACTCCAAATGGAACAACACCGGATGCTTCAAAAACCAGCATAAGACACCCGAATATACCAAGACAACATGCTAGAGTTGGATATCGCAGATTTGTTTTTCTGATGTGCAAGGATATAGTATCTATATGAATAAAAGGAGATGTGGGTTAACATCAAAGAGACAGCAACTTAAATAAAAAACAACCAAAAGGCATCTAGATCTAAGTGGTAGTCAATATATAACTTTATCCACCTATCTATGCAATATCTCTATCTCTAAATCGTTTCAAGTTAATATAAATTGGGAATAAATTAAACAGTTACAATAAAAGATCAGGAATTAAAACCTCCATGAAGTTTTGATGTTCGATTACAGTTAATCATTAATTCAACTCGACGTGTTGATAAGTATCTTGAGTTTTCTGTGTGATTAATTATAATTTTTGTCTTTTCGACGTTTGTCGCTTGTGCCATGGTGTTGTCCATTTTTTGTTAAAACTTATGATTGTTATGCCACCTTGGTGTCATCTTCTATTTTTGAAATGGACAAGAATGTATGGTTTTATCATTCTTTTAAAGGGATTTCATTAAAGGTCAAAAGTTGTTCGTTGTATTTTGTGTTGTATTATTTTAATTTAATTTTTGTGAAAAAAATAATATATAAGAAACTGCGAAGTTAAGGTAAAATGCATTCTCGAAAATTAAGCATTACATAGAACATTGATGAACATTATAGATATATGTTTTGGTGGTTTCAACTGTCCTTAATGTTTTAATTCATCATGTTATTTTCTTTTAAAAACAAACCTCGGCAGATAAGCCAGAAAGATTTAAAAAGATTGATTTGAATTAAAATAGAACACTTACATTTATGCATGATTTGTATTCAAAACGTGAATATAATAAAAATATGTTGGCCAGTATTAAATAAAACTAATATAATTGCACAATAACAGTAAATAGATTTGATCGAATGTAATTGCACTCGAAAAAAAACTAGTTATATTATCTCATAAATGTACCGATTCACTTTCAGAATGCCTTATGCAGACTTTTTTGGAGGAATATCAAATATGCCATCTAGTGTATTCGCGCAAGTCAATGGGTTTTCTAACCAGTATGAAGGATGGGGATTGGAAGATGATGACTTTTATCGACGGTAGGTATACGGTGACAATCGGTTATTTAATTCCTCACGTACGTCTGCACATTTTCCGTGAATTTTGCATAGTTCTGAGACTTCATGGAAGAACACACTACACACTATTTGATAGCTTTTGTTCACTTAACATGCACGACAAATTTTCTTATTGTGAATGCTTGAATTTATATTGTGTACGCTAAGTATGCAGCAACCAAGATAAAAATTTGTTAAACAAACTAAGATCAATTAACTATGTAATGTATATCAAATATAAATGTCATCATTATCAGGCTTAAGTTTAGTATAACACTGTCTATCTAACATGATATATGACAACAATCAATATCTTTTTTAAAGAAATCATTTTACGAATCGATTACGTTCATAGTTTACATTTTTACAACTTGTGTTTCTTTTTATTTATAAAAAAAAAGATAAGCACGATGATAACCAACTTAAATCTACGATAAGTCATAAACTAAAAAAGTTTCTCTGGATGAATAGCTTATTCCTTTCCGAAGGAGCAGTGATTTGAATTGTTATGTTATCTTAAATTTGTTCTAGCACAAACGTGCTCAATTAAAGAAAACATGTACATGGAACATTGATTAAGGCCCCAATACTCTTGGAGTCCTTTTTCGACCAAATCATTATGTTACAAACAGTAGAAATCACTCAAAATTGTGCATCATAACGGTCTATACAGGTCCTGATTCTTTGTTTATAGGTCCAGGCTGTTGATAGTTCTAAATCTTGTTTGGCACTACACCTTTTTGAAATTTCTACTTGCATTTTGACGGTATGATTATCGTTTTCAATCGACGTAACTGCATAGGACTTCAAAGGGTAACATTTTCAGTTCCATATCAGATGAAAACATATATAATTCGAGTCAACATAGTTTGCTTCCTAAAACAAATTTAATAAGAATAGTCAGTGACATTATGAATGAAAAGAAAATAAAAAAAAAAAACAACAACATAGTGCTTTTACTCTTCTTACCTTTGGTTTGTGTCGCATCACACTAGACTTTAATCACGTTTTATTCGATCTTACTATGTTATAATGACAGAATGATATTTCCTATTGACGAACCGGTGTCGCTCCGTTTGTAGTGGAACGATTTCTGTTGATTGATCTATCCCAAAGGGAGTAGCAAGTTAAGATAAATCAGTATGGTAATCATTAAATCTCCGTTAACATATACAAAGTCTCCAATAAATTCTAGAGGTACATGTTAAGGCATGAAAAACAAGGGCTCTTGGTGTTATTATAATAAGTTTAGAGTAATGAGTTCTCAACCTTTTGAATCATTTGTTTTTATTATAAGCAATATCAGAATGAAATTATAAATTCCAAAAATCAAGAAAGCCAGCAATTTCTCCGCACCCACCCAAACAATCGTTTTATATACTCTTAACCAATGAATAGATTATTACTATTCTAGAAGTGGCGTGAATCAGATGTGGATACTAAATAAATTTCAATAGTAGTATACCGCTGTTCAATAGTTATAAATCTATTTAATTGAAACAAATCCGGATCACAAACCAAAACTGAGGGAAACACATCAACTATAAGAAGAAACAAAACGGAACAACAGAAACACTGAACTGCTACAAAAACAAACGCCAAAAAAATTCCAAAGATCTTTTAGAGTACATACAATCTAAGACTCTTTCATCTTGCAATAGTATTGAAACATTTAACTTTTCTACACTTTACACAAGTATTCCTCATTCCAAACTAAAAGACAAATTGAAAGAGTTGGTCCTGCTTTGTTTCATAAAGAAAAATGGCCAACGTAGATACAAGTATCTGGTCTACGGGAGGGATAAATCCTACTTTGTGTTTTTGAACAAACAATCGGCATTCCAATGGAAACCAACTGTGCCGATTTTCTTGCCGACTTGTTTCTAAATTCATATGAGACTGACTTCATACAGGAACTTCTTAGTAAGAAAGAAAAGAAGTTAGCAGTATCCTTTAACTTTACTTTCTGCTACATAGATGATGTTCTCTCACTACATAATTAAAAATTTGGTAACTATGTTGAACGCATCTTTCCGATCGAACTTGAGATAAAGGATACATCATATTCAGTTAAGTCTGCCACATATCTTGACCTACATCTAGAACAATGAGGGTCGGTTGAAAACAAAACTTTATGACAAAAGAGATGATTTCAGCTTCCCAATTGTGAACTTTCCAATTTTATGTAGCAACATTTCAGCAGCGCCTGCATACGGAGTATATATCTCCCAGTTGATACGATACTCCAGGGCTTGTATTTCCTATCATGATTTCCTTGATAGAGGATTGCTGCTCACAAGGAAGCTATTAAACCAAGATTTCCAAGTGGTGAAGTTGAAATCATCCCTTTGTAAATTTTACGGACGCCATCACGAGTTTGTTGATCGTTACGGAATAACCGTTTCACAGATGATAGCAGATATGTTCCTTATGTCGTAACTACACTCCCGTCCCCTTTTCCCGAATATGACCTACCGAATTAGACTTATAACCGGGTTTGTACTTATATGAGCAACACGACGGGTGCCACATGTAGAGCAGAATTTGCTTACCCTTCTGGAGCACCTGAGATCACGCCCAGTTTTTGGTGGGGTTCATGTTGCTCAGTCTTTAGTTTTCTATGTTGTGTTTTGCGTACTATTGTTTGTCTGTTGATCTTTTTCGTTTATTTTATAGCCATGGTTATGAGTTTGAATGTCCCTATTGTATCTTTCGCCTCTCTTTTACAAAGAATCCCGATTAAAATTGTCTACTTCTTACGCACTGAATCAAGACGTTGAAATTCATTTGACTGAATAAAGAGAAAAAAAATACAAAGAAATTAAAGCCATATTAGCGCAATTGCAAGACAATTAATATCCAGAATATTAAGAACGCAACTAATGTATCGCTAAGGTTTTGTGCAAAACTAGTGCTTATTTTATATATTATTCTCTGCATAGAATAAGACGTTTTTTAATCGTATTGGAACCTTAACAATAAAGCATACCTCAGATTTATATGTGAAGCAGTTACTTTAACGCGCACCATTTAAGATGAATATCCTTTCATATTTGAACTTTGAGCCAAATCTAAGATCAATTTTAGACCAAAAAAAATGTTTAAAGAATTAATTAATTTTTGTTCATAATGGATGGCCGCTTATCTATTTTCTATGACCAACAGACATACAAGTATGCATGAAATTTTACATCGTAGTTTGATTTCATGCTACCTGAAAAGAAACCTGCTAATTGCATTTGAATATACAAATATTTTCATTAGAAAAATCTAAAGTGTCTAAAAGGACTATTAAAAAAGGCAATAGTAGTATACCGCTGTTCAATAGTCATAAATGATTTAACTGAAACAAATCCGGGTCCCGAACCAAAACTGAGGGAAACACATCAACTATAAGAGGAAACAAAACGGAACAACAGAAATACTGAACTGCTGCAAAAACAAACGCCAACATACATAAAAACAGACTATGTGCTTATTAACTGTGCTTATCTATGATAATGCAGCCACCAAATGTATATATAAGTTGTCTCTTTCGTCAATCATACGAACTTTCTAAATCAATTGTTTTGAATACTTGCCAAGCTATATTGAAATGAAAAGAGCACTAGAACAAGGAACATTTGTATAACCACTTGCCTTTTAAATAAGCTTTGGATTTTCGAATATTTTGGCCTCGAGCATCACTGAAGAGACATTGCTTGTTGGAAAGCGCATCTGGTGCAGCAAAATTGGTACCGTTTATGTTATTACTACCACTGGGTCGATGGCTCTGCTGGTGGACTGATAGTCTCCGAAGGTATCACCAGCCCAGTAGCCTGTACTTCGGTACTGGCATTGAAATACGGTTTTTGTGACATTGATTGTCGAAATGCTCATCTGGTGCAGAAAAATTGGTACCGTTTATGTTATTGCCACGATACACTCAAATGAAAAGAACATTAGAATTAGCACATGAACATGACCAATTGCGCGGCTTATGCGATAACGTATCGTTAAAATACACTTAAAAAAGTACCATGAGGTATTGGTGAAAAAGTATTCAACATCATGGTTGCTTTATGGCCTTTCTGGTACAATTATAACAAACTAACAAACACAGAACCAGGACCCATCAGCACCAATAAGGGAAAAATCACCTACACAGAACAAATTCTTGCAAGATCTTAGTTACCTTGATTTCGTGACTGTAGCTTCGAGTTTTGTATGTTGTGTTTTGTACACTGTTGTTTGTTTTTTTTTGTCGTTTTGGTTGTTTTTACGATGGCATTGTCAGTTTGTTTTCGACTAATGAGGTTGATTGTTCCTTTTGTATCTTTCGACTCTCTTTTCCAGACTCGAAATCTGTAAAATATTACCATAAAAAAAATTGAACATTTTAAGATTTCCTTTAAGTACACCAGGTACACTGCTACTTTTGCATGGGTACTATTTCTGTACCAAAAATCTGTAGTACTGGAAATTTACTTCTAATATTCAGTACTATTTTGTTACTTTAAAAGTATTGGAATATTTAGGTACCTGTATTTTACAGTACTAGATTTGTCCTACAGATTTTTGGTACAGAAATAATACCAACAGTGATCACAATATTCCATGTTTGAAAATCATAACTTTAAGAGATTTGAAATAGACAAACTTTCCAAATGCTGAAAATGTAACGGTGTAACCAAAAATCTGCATTAATTAAATTTCAAGTACAAATCAAGTACTGTAAAATACAAGTACCTAAATATAACAATAATTTTCAAGTAACAAAATAGTACTAAATATTAAAAGTCAATTTCCAGTACTACAGATTTTTGGTACAGAAATAGTACCTATGCAAAAGTAGTAGTTTAATCAAGTATTTTATTAGTACACATTTATGTGACATAATATTTTTACCTCGAACAAAATGAAAACAACACATTATTATTGCATGCGTCCGAAGCACTTTTCTGGTTTTAACTTCACCAGGAACGCTCAAAGCCGAATATTTGAAAGCCGAGGATGTATAAGAACCGAAACAGTTGAAGAGCTATATTACCAAAAAATACATAAAAATAGCCAAATCCACCTAAGTCAACTTTGCCCGAGGGAATTGAAATCTTTGGTTTTTTTTTATAATTGCAAAATTTATAAACAGACAACTTAAGAAAGGTTTGTTATAAATCATGTCAGTACGGAAGCACTGACTACTGAATTTACGATACCCACGGGGACTGAAAGTCCACCAGCAAAGATATCGACCCGTTGCTGTAAAAATTAAAACAACACATTATTAATTTCATGCGTCCGACGCGCTTTTCTGGTTTTAACTTCATCAGGAACGCTAAAAAGCCGAATATTTGAAAGCCGAGGATGTGTAAGAACCGAAACCGTTGAAGAGCTATAGGACCAAAAAGTACTTAAAAAATAGCCAAATCCATCTAAGGTCAACTTTGCCTGAGGGAGTTGAAATCTTAGTTAAATTTATAAACGTACAATTTTAGAAAGGTTTGTTATAAATTATGTACGTACCGAAGTGCTGACTATTGAGCTGTTGACATTTCAGACCCCTGACTATTGAGCTGTTGACACTCTCGGACCACTGACTATTGAGCTGTTGGCACTCTCAAACCACTGACTATTGAGCTGTTGACACTCTCGGACCACTGACTATTGAGCTGTTGACACTCTCGGACCATTTTCTAATTGTTTTGTCAATAGCCTACCGTTTAAAATTGTAAAAACAGATAAACAAAAAATGTAAAATCAAATGGCAAATATAGCGCGTCTAGTTATGTTTTAAATTAAAAAACAATTTTAGTCTTTGATTTATCGATTATTATTTTGTAATTAAACATGTCAACAGTTTAATTCTTATAGTCCACTTAAGGCAACTTCATTGTTTGTATGATAATAATAGGCTGTTTTTTTCGTAGATTAACAGTTGTTCATGGGCTGAAAATTGAACGTCCACTGTCAAAAGTGTCGGCTTGTGCTACCGTTAATCATACAAAATCGCATCAAAAGGGCAGACCTCTTGATAGGTAAGTAACTATTTCCAAAAAACTAATTTTAATTCTGTCAAAGTGAAGCAAAATGTCAGTGTTATTCATTTAAATTGTTTCAACATTAAGTAATATCTTAAAATTAAGCTTTGAAAATATTAACTGCAATACGTCTAATTGCTAGACCGTCTTTGATGAGTTCTATGCACACACTCACCTTTGACCTACTTAATTGTTGACCTTGTATTTTTGATGAAAAAGACGATATCACTCTTGGTCGGCGTTTTTTTCCCGAGATATGACCAGTCCAGAAGTCAACATTATGGGTTTGACATCAAATGTTTCACGAGTCAATTAATGTAAATACAGTTCAAATTTTTTGATGGTTTTAAAATCTCGAAACTCTTAGGATTTCCATCTCCTTGGGCAAATGATGAACATTTTTGGAAGTTTTGGATCAGAATGCGCATTAACTACATGTATATTATTGATTTGGCATGTCATTTGATTTTATTGAGAGGCACTGATAAGTCGTTTGTGCACACACCCAAATCTGTCATACTGGAGTTCATTATTTTTGTTAGTTTTACTTTTTTTTTTATAAGCCTTTTTCTTTGGCTGACATTTTGCATTTTTAAGCAATCCAGATTTCTTAAGTCTAATGATTCGGGTCAATATTTGATGGGCAGAAAAACATTCTCTAATTCTGAATCAAAAACATCGAAAATAACATACAAAACAATTGTATAAATAGTCCATCTAGTTTTCAAATCTTGAAATACCGCATTTTCTTATATCCATTTAAAAAGTGATATATCTTGCACAGTCTCAACAAAGGGTCTCTGTTTCTAATGATTTTAGGTTACGAATGTCAATGATGGAAGGAGAAAATTTGAAAATGTCACTGCATTAAACACAAAAACCATACACGAAAAGCAACTCGAATCTGCTTAATTAGAAAACAAAAAATTGTAGTTTATATATCTCAAATATTAAAATTACACCAAGTAATGATATTGAACTAGAAAACTGTGCCACACCAAACATGATGTCGTACATTTTATAAGATAGAAAAACAAAGGATATAGGGTATTTATCCATGACACAAAATCAGTACATGCACAGCAAAAACACACAAACAGCAAAGGAAGGTATCGGTTAAGTCAAAACAATGTAAATTAACATCTATTGAAAGAATGTTGTATTGTAAAAATAATTGTATAAAGTTAGAGATTGCATGTTAGTTACGTAATCGCGTCATTGTTTGTGATATCCTGTGTTTGTTATTGTTCTGCACTTTGCATGTTGTGTCGACTATTATATTATTTGTTTGTGTGTTTCTCTGTGATGAATGTTCTTGCGTGTGTTTGTGCTGTATTTCTGTTACGTAGTGTTGTCATTTTAGCGATATTTTTTAACATTTTCATAAAGTGGGAGGTTTGGCTAGACATAAACCAGGTTCAACCAATCATTTTTTCTTAAAATGTCCTGTACCAAGTCAGGAATATGGCAGTTGTCAAATAGTTAGTTTCTATGTTTGTTGGCGTTTGTTTTTGTTGCACTTCAGTGTTCCTGTTGTTCCTTTGTTTTCCTCTTATAGTTGATGGGTTTCCCTCGGTTTTAGTTTGTAAACCGGATTTGTTATCCCTCAATCGATTTATGACTTTTGAACACTGGTATACTACTGTTGCCTTTATCTATATCAAATAATAAAACATTACTATTAAATTTCAGATGCAACATTTATATCAATCGACCACGTGGATGGGCATTTGACGGGTTAAGCACTTTACGGTATAAAATAGAAACGATAGAGAACAAAAGATTATTCAGACGGATTCTTATACATATCAACACAACAGAACTGAGAAAGGTAAATAATAATAATCAATAATGTGCCATTTTCATGTCTTTTTACTATGGTATTCCCTGCAGCACATCCGATAAATTTTAAAATGTCGGTATTCGTTGCAATATACATTCAAAGAAATTAGTTTAGAATTGATTATGAAGAAAGTCTTCATTAACATTACCCTTTTCAAACGATTGAAAGAAATCATACTTATGTTATATTGTAACACCCTGTCCAAAATAGGTCCAGGATATAGTTTTCACAAGGATGTCTTGAGTGCTTGTCCTAAACATTGGGTGTAACTGTTGTCGTTAGTAGCTCTCTACCGTACATTTCTTTTTTCAATGTTATTATCTTCTTAAATCAGGTTGTTTATATATTCTCCTTTGAATTGCTTTTCATTGTGTTATACCCAGTCCATTTACAGCTTACCATATGGTATTTGGTGTTTTTCATTGTCGAAGGTCAAACGGCAACCCATAGTTTTGACTGGTCTATTGTGGATGGGTGCCTTCACACCAATCAGACCTCTCCTAATTTGATATGTTATCATTTACTGGATTGCTGAGGAGTGTTTAAGGACGATAAACGACGAAGGCTTGATTGTAGAAGATTTTATTACGGAATCAAATTAGGACAAAAAAGTCTTTTCGGATAATTATATTTTCAAACAGTAATATTTTATATGAATGTTATCTTTATCTCACACTATTTCGTACTGTGAAATCGTATATTGTTCAACAAATAAGAGAAGTTTAAAATCCCAAATAAAAGTTGATTATTTCCCTTTTAAACATTAAGACCCCAATTTGGCATGAGAAAAATAACAGCATTCAAAACTGACAAGACATTTTCAAAAATGCAAAATTGTTAATGTATAGGGTAATTCATCTATTTTTCCGAAAATCATTCAATAAACAGATATCGTCAGAAGTTTTGTTCTAACCAATTGTCTGTTAAACTAATGTTACACTATAGTCACAATTGATGGAGAATTGAAATTAAGAAAAAAAAAACCAAACCTGATAATTAACATTACATGAAAGGAGCAGAAAAAAGTGTCTCAATATATCTTAAGTTTTAAATCGCCCAAATATTTCAGGACAAGTAGTAAAAACAATCAAGAGAGAGAGAGACAGAGAGCGATTGCTGAATATTTCTATCAACGCAAATTGCTTAATACTATAAACAAACCAATTAATTTGAAGGTATAATCAAGGTAAAATTAGCAACGACGTTCTTGGACGTTTACCTTAAGATCTAGCGGTTTTGAACTAGATCTTTGAATAAAGAATCTCTTTCAATTGAATAGTTAAAAGTTTACAGATACAAGTATACTAACAATTCTTTAAAATATTCCATGAAAATTGTTTAAAAGACAAGAAAAATAAAAGAAACAGAATGTTAACAAAGAATGCTGGCAGTTTTTGAACTCAATCTATGCATATGCATGTGACCGATTTAAAGGTTTTTGAAGGTATATATAATAATTAGTGCTCAACATTTTAACCCTGCTACATGTGTCTGTGCTTGTCCTGAGTCACGAACCTCTTCGATGGTTGCTTTGATAGCCTTCCCAATATCCTTGTATCATTTAGGTTCTGCATTATTTACAGTTTTAATACGAGTACCATCTCTTAAAGTGACACACATTTTATAACCAGTTAAAATTGACACACATATTGCAATTTCATTTACAGAATAACAAGATTACAATACTGCATGCAAACACCACGCAGGGAAAGAAAAAAATACGTAATAAGTTTTGTCATGTTAACCCATGTTCGTTTGTTTGTATGGTTTATAATTCTAATATTTTAGGAAGATCAGAAACAAGGACAAGTCAAAAACACGAACTTTAAATCGACTGAATTTTTCTTTTAAATGTTTTTTATTTGTTTAGCATTTGTTGTTATTAAGGTAATATGCTGATCAATTCTCATTATCTTTTAGGAATTTGTAAAGAGATTAAGTATTGAGGATTATGAGAGTTTAGTTCCAGTTGCTTCGTGGAATGGTAACACTGAAATGTGTTATTGGGCACTAAAGAAGTCAAACAAAACGATTGATAAAAGTGTTGAAGATCTTGTACAGAAATCAGTGAACGTTTCTAGTCATAAATTGATATGCATACCTTGAAAGTATAATATATAGCATAATGGCTTACAAGTGAAACACATGGAAGACACTAACCTCACCGGGAAAGTCATCTATTCTGCATTTCATAGATGACAAACTTTATGATTTGGATACCTATGGACCTGACTATAACAAGTGTTTTCTCTATACAATTTACAGATGAACGTGCGATTATTCTTCTTTCTAAAATTCTATCCTTTTTTGTTCATTCTGTCAGTTTGATTTTGTATTGTTAACATGGCAACTTTTCTAATTTTGCTAATTGTATGGGAAATACGATATTTCTATATTTATGAAAATAAAAAAAAAATCAGTTTTTAACAGCAACATAAGAATTACAATTATTGGGAAAAATCAACTTGAACAACTGCTTAATCTTTATAATTGTATTATTCCTCCTTGTGTAAAACCGTGAGACATAAACGATTATTCTAGAAAAAACATATTCAGATAAACTATACTTATAACAAGTTTTTTTCCTTTTAACGAAGTAGATGCAAGAGTTGTTTCCTGAGATACACTCTCTAGGGTCTTGTGAAGTGTCTTGTGACCTACTGTATGTTTGTTCGTCGTTTTTACTCTCGTAACATCGTGTTGTCTGTCTTTCTTCGTCTCAAAGAGCTCTGGTTATTCTATTGCTCTTTTGTGTCACAGTTCTTTAATTGAAGAAATCTTTCAGGTCCTTTGTACTTTGGTCACAAAACAGGATAGATCATGTTTGTTTTTATTGCAATCTGTTTTTATTTGGTCTTATGGAATTTATATTGACATCATTAAACTACAGGGAATTTATGTATTTTCATAGATAAATAAATAGAGAATATCAAATGGCTTTTTGATATCACACCAGCCTCAACCCGAGACACCAATATAATCACAAGAGGTCTACTCGAAGGATTATATTGGTTGGAGGTTGATACAGTGACGTAACGAAAATGGGAGATTGATAAAGCATTTGCAACCATGACATCAAGGATGACTGATACAGCACAATTTGCGTTGATTGTATCACACCTACAGTTTACTTATATTTTAACCAGGTATAAGTTAATACAAGTCTACTATATTGAATATCGCCCTGCATTATCATATAAGTGATGTAATGTTTAATTTTAAATGTTTACTATTATATTGTTTTATCAATTACAGCGATGTGTTTACCTTTTTCAACAGTATAATACAAGCGAAAAACTATCAGACATATAATGCAATCAATCATTTATTAAATAGGTAAAAATGATAACTTACACTGTATCCCACAACAGAGCTTATCAAATATTTCTGAAAACAAAAGGAAGCAATTGTGCCCATTTTCTTAACGAGTTGTTCCCATATTCATGTGAGAAAGACTTCATACAGGGGCTTCTCAGAAAGAATGAAAACAGTAAGCATTATCGATGTCCTGTCACTAAATAAAGTTTGGTGACTAAGTTGAACGCATATATTCCATCGAACTTTAATAAATGGATATCAAAGATACAGATACAGATACAGAATTTGACAATGAACGTCGGTTGATCATTAAACTTTACGACAAAAGTTCCTAATTGTGAACTCTGCATTTCTATGTTGCAACATTCAAGTAGTACCTGTATATGTATAGGTAAGAGCTTTTCTTTGATAGAGGGTTACTGATTACAAGGATGCTGTTGAACTAAAGGCTCCAAGTGGTAAAGTTGACGTCATCCCTCCGTACGTTTCACGAAAGTCAACTCGTGTTGTTTGCCCGTTACGGAATATCTGTGTCACAGAAAACCATAAATGTATTACAATTTTTGTAACCATAATCCGGTTATTAATTGTATCATCACCGTGAGCGACATGATAATAGCCACATGTGGTGCAAGATCTGCTTACCTGAGAGCACATGTGTATGGTGGTTCGTGTTGCTCAGTAATTTTATTTCTATGTATTGTTTTGTCTTGTCGTCGATTATAGTTTTTTGCGATGGCGTTATTTTTACTTAGAAGTTGTGAATGTGCCCTGGTTGGGTCCGCCTGTTTTTGTTTTGTTTATCTCTGTCATGTTGCACATACCTTGCAAGTTTCAAACATGATTGGAAATCAAAATAATTCTATGAAACCATAAGAATCAAGTAAAAACTAATCAATTAAAACAATCAATCTTAGTATATTAGTTACGACCAACAGATAAAAAAGAAAGAAATAAGTAAAGGGAGGTTCAGTAAAGGGAAGCTCAGTAAATTCATAAGTATATAATACATATGTTTTTTTTGCTTACCTAAATCATTAAATCATTGTTTATTAACCAAATACACTCGAAGACGTCCATTTAAATCATAAAGTGTGAGATTATTGAAAACATTAACTTCAATGGTAACTATATGTCTATGAATTGTAAGAAATATGCATATGATTCATTTCAAATCAAATCCCTTAATGTAGGGAAATCAACTACTATAAGAAAGGCGAAAGATACCAAGGAGACATTCAAACTCATAAGTCGACAATAACTGACAACACCATACAAAGCACATTTAATGATGTATTTTGATTTTACCTTAGAGTTCTGTATTATTCTAATACTTTTTTTAATAACATCACAAACAGAAGAAAAAGGAATTGCACTTTGACAAATGGAAAAAATCTGTATCTCACATATACCGTAAACACAAATATTCGTGACATATTTAACTCAATTGAATAGCCAAATGATGATAACATTTGTAAAACATCATAAATAAGAGTTTTTTAATCATCAATTTCTCATCAGTTCTATAGTGTTGTATGAATCAATCAGCTATAACAAATCATGGTAAAAGACACGCAATAGAGTTCTATATGTACTGGGAGATATTATATCTATATGCAGAATCTTTGAAAATAGTTTTATTCGTTAATTCAAAACGTTAAGGGTACAGTTCAAAGACGTAAAGATACTAA